CCCCCCTCCCCTCCCCTCCATCCTCCCCTTTCTATACTCCCAACTGCCGCCCTAAGCCCTGTTTGTCACTGCTACTGAGAATCATTACAAAGGGCCGAAGGCCAGAGAGCACGTTCTCACGTTTATTCAAATTTTATTTGAGCCTAGACAACCAATCTCAGATCCTTAAGCCTTCCTTTCACCGATTCAGAAAAATAATAGAAAGACAAAGAAAAAGAATTAATGAGACCTTACGGAAGACGGCTGGCGAGTGTTCAGTGCGTGTTCACCGGCCACCGCATCTTACGAGCAAAAGAAGGGAAAACCATCTTCCCCAAACTCATCACGATGAGCGGAAAAGAGACATGCTCCCTACCTCCCTGCCTCCCTCGCCTTGTCGTGCGCATCGTTTGGGACAAGAATCGGTTCGATGATCGCTATGTATATAGCTCGAGTTACATGGCCCAGAGATGATGGACTTCGTCGCGAGCAAGCATCCTCTCACACATACGATAACGGTCATCAAGTCCTTCCCACCCACACTGCAATCACTACTGTCATCATCTTGTGTGTGCGGCTCAAATTAACTCAGGGCAACGACGAGCGACTGCGTTGTGCACGAAGCCTCGTCGAAATACGAGAACGATCATCGAACCCTTACCTTTTCCAACCCAACCCAACCACACTGGCTTCTGCTTATCTGCATCGTCGTCATCTGTGTGCATTTCAGTTTCGTAGCAGCCGCAGCCCCCTTAGACCCCAACATTCATCCCGTCCGGAACCGCACCGCGGTTATTGTACGCCCTCCCGTTTCCGCCGTCTGCATTGGCGTTGGCTGCACGAGCGTTATCTGCCTGTGGCTGCTGCTGCTGTTGCTGGAAATTCAATGGTCGCCGAAAGAGCATGATATGCGGCTCGGGCCGATGGATCGCATAGTGCATCCATCCTCTTGACTGCTGAACACCGAGACTTCGCCATTCTTGCTGCCAACACAGAACCAATACCCAACCAATTGAAATGACATGAGCGAACGGAGAGGCTACGCTTAAAAGCGCGATGGCCAACTTGAGGTAAATATCATCGGACTTCGGACTGAGTTCGACTAACCAGCCCCGGGAAATTCAATCTCGTGTCTAATCTGACACCGGGTGGCCTTTTCAGCCCAGGGTGGCCTTGATATTGCCTTCAGGGCGCGCCGCACACTGTTCCAAAATTTGAATAACAGTAATCCGCAGACAAATGGCATTGTCTGCGGCTCAGAATCTCGAGATCCCTTTTTTCTTTTTTCTTTTTTTTTTATGATTTTTTTTTTTTGTTGTGATTCTTCAGATCTAGCGAAAGGCTGAGTTAGTATTAAGTTATTAACAGAGTCGGTATTCTGACATTCCAAATTCCAATGAAACAAAAATCGACGGCAAGAGAGGGCCCGCTTTTTTCCCCACAAAAACCAGGGAGTTGTCAGGGTAAAACAAAACAAAAAGCCATTTAGGAAAAAAAAAAAAAAAAAAAAAAAAAAAACAGCTTGATAAAAACTTGCTCTGCAGCTGCCAACAATCTGTAATCAGCTCCTTTGGGACATCCATTCAAATTGGAACGATACAGAGAAGGGTACATTAGCGAGTGAACCCCGCGCAAGGATGACACACATACATCGAGAAATGGATCTGTAATCAGGTGATTGTGCCCATCAGCACTCAGCGTGAGACACTTTGAAAATCATCCACCTGAACTTCAGGGGCATGTCTGCACAAAGGGCGGTTTCACAACCGCTGATTCTTCAGGGGAGGGACGGGCGGGAGGCGGGAGGGGGAGGGGGGGGGGGGGGGGGGGGGGCGCGGAGGACGGGCAGCTTACACCAGACACTCCTCACACATTTGAGAATATTAACAATAGTCAGACAAGCAACCAGGCAAAGGTTACCTTGCCTGGTGCCATGACCAAACGTGTGCCATTTCCGACGGTGCTGTTGGATCAGTTTCTACTTGCTGCTGGCGGAGAGATGGGAATGGAGGAGAGGAGAGGAAAGGGGGGGGGGACGGGAGTGGGGACGAGGAGGGGAATGGAGGGCGGGGAGAAGAGGAGGTGGAGAGGAGAGGAGAGGAGAGGGGAAGGGAGGAGAACGGATGGGAGGGTACTGTTCTCCCTTCCATATATACCAGACAGGGTGTCCTGTACATTCTCAGCTCACCAGTGGAGTCTACTGCTGCTCTGGCCGCTGGTGGCTATGGGTCATACGTGGGTCTAGCTGCTGGTTAAGGTCGCCTGACGCTGTTTCTTGCAACGGAGTACAGGAACATTAAATCTTCATCTCCACAGCCAATTTAGGCTTCACAAGACAAGGCCAGCTAAGCAACACACAAGTGGGGGAAGGGGTAGAAAAGAGTTGGGGAGGGGCTCTTTCAGGAATCAGGATTTGAGCTCATGACCTGTTTACCGCACCAAGGGGGTATAACACAGGCCGACTGTGGCATACTCCGTACCACACGGGCCCAGCAGAGCCTGACCTGGTAGACTAAGGGTCCGTTGGGGTAGGGCCTGTTTCAGGCCCTGTGTCGTTTCAGCCTCCAGCCTGAAAACGACGGGCCATTTTCAGGCCCTCGCAAGATCGACCTACCCTGAAACTCAGGCACCAGACCGGGGTTTTAGCTCAGGCCTTTAAGGCCTATTTTGTGGAGCCGTCAACCCCAGGGTCTGGCACGTTTTGGCATAGGCACGAGGAGCCTCTCGGACGGGCCAGCACTATATAATGCTGATCCGCCCTGTAGGCTGCAGGCAGTTCCCAGGCACTTCACGTGCAGAGGGCAGGAGGTAGTCTTCAGGACTCAGCAGCGGCACTCTGGAGGAGTGGTAGCGGTAGCAGTAGTCTTCAGCGCTGGGCGCTAGTAGAGAGAGAGAGAGATGGTTGGCGGAAGCCAGGGAGACTCACCTGCGGCGCCATAGCTCCAGCTTCGTCTTCAATGTACCTGCAGCCAGGCGCCACCTTTACAGGTTAGTATCGGCGAGAGAGAGAGAGAGAGAGAGAGAGAGAGAGAGAGAGAGAGAGAGAGAGAGAGAGAGA